GTGCCTGACACAAATGAATACTTCCCCTATTCTGTGGAGTTTCAGTGCAAAACCTCTCTCTCCATTCATCTTCCTCCTGCCTCCTCCTTGCCCGCCCCCTGCTACCTAGGGAGCCCCGTGAACAGGCGTATTGGCAGTAAACTTAGCTCAACAAAACACTCTGGTGAAAAAGGGAAATATAACATGATCACTTCCTATTTCTTTCTCCTTTCCTCTGCATCAAAGTCTGGGCTGGCTGTCAGGAATGTTCCAAATGAATAAATAAAGCGCAGGAACCCCCTGCTTCAGAAGAAGCCTCATTCACTCACCACGAAGCTTGGCCAGTTCTTTTTCTGACAGTACTCAAAGTCAGCGGGCAGAGCAAGAAGATCATTCAAAGCTAATCAGTAAAGTGTAAACCTATTAGGAAAGCACATTTACCCCTCGCCTCCTCCCTCCTCCAGAAAACCAATCCCCAAATCTGTGGGAATAACACATCACGTACATAAAAGTTGCTATTACTTAGATCCCCTGTTATTAGGTCAGCAATGCCACTGATGAAATGCTCCCCAGAGCACTGAGCAGCGGCATATAAATCCTCCAAGAAATTCACAGTATAATTTGTTACAGCTAGAGGGCATAAGACACATTACAGCAAAGCCCGTGTATTAGGCTCTTCCCTGTGATTCTCGAGGCTATCTCTAGTAATAAAAACCTCATCTTGATTTCTTATCCTTCGTATTGATTTCTGTCAGAGAAGACTTTTCTTAGACAAAGATACTACTATATTTCTCTGTATAATAAGGCGATCCCTCTCTCCTATTCTTCCCACCCCTTTTAAAAATTTACTTTAGGGATGACTTCAAGGAAAATTCATAACTTGGGGACTGTTGGTATGTACAGTGGGTGAAGAGCGGAGAAGACAACAATGACAGTTTTTGCATATGCAGTGCAAAACCCTAAATGTGAAATTAGAGAAAAATGCTTTTGGTCTGAAATAGTACAGGAAATTGAAACTAAAACCCCAGCTATGCAATTTCTATATTTTAATATGAAACTCTGTTATTAATGTAATGGATGGAATCTGTGGGAGTCAAGTGATGAAAATCCAGACTCAGATGTATATAATCCTAGAAACTGTTAACTTTGGAACATTTGTACTCCTGCTCTATGAATCATATAGCTCTCTTCTTTTCAGGAGAGGCCTGTAGGTCTGATGCTTTTGTGAAAAAGCATTACCAAAAAAAAAAAAAAATCTTTCTTTTTTCAGTATGGTGCAGAAGGACAAGGCCAAACAGAAATCTAGAAAGCTTTACGTGAATAATTTACAAGCCAAGTAACAACAGCTCCATGGAAGGCAATACAGGTAAATGGAATGATGGATGGAAAGACTGTGAGAAACACTGTATTATATAAAAAATATTTTGTATTCTCTGCAATAGGATTACTATAAGCATCTGGAAGATTTTTGTTTGATCTATTCCTTTGGGTTTCGCTTTATTTTGCTTTTTTAGAACCTATCTTCATAAGAAGCTGTCTTGGGTCTTGAAATGACTGAAGCTATGCTGGTTCCCTTGTGCAAAGAAAGTGGTAAATATTTATAGCAGTTCTTACAAGTGGAGAAATTTAATATGTGCTCATTGCTTTTGTAATCTAATAGCTGTGCTGAAAGACAATACCTGCTAATTGTATTTCCTATCACATCCTTTTCCAATTGAAGGATAAAATATGGAAGTTTGGGTTTATTTTTTTTAGTACATACAGCAAAATTTATTCAAAAGAATCTTTGTTCCCCTTTAGCTATCTGTTTATTTAATAGACTATGGACAATGGTAAACTCTGTCAAAAATCCTAGTTAAAGAATAATTTATAAGCTACATTTAGCTGTTGATCTCGTAGACTGGCTTAGTGGAGAGCCAAAATATAACCTGGCAGGTAATAATTAATGTGAACCTTGACACTTCAGACCTGGCAACTGCTCAGCAGGCCAGGCAGGAGCAGGAAGCAACCTCTGCTAGTTCTGAAGTGTCTCTGGCAGGTACCACATGGAAAGCTTGGCTCTGTGTGACACACATGCTTCCCATGTGTAGAAATTTGCTGATTTTTTTTTTTTCTACCTATTTTGGATGCAAGTGATGATGTCTGTGGCAAAATTATTTTGGTCACTTAAATAGAGGCCTCCTGTGAAGAGCAGGATGGCAGGCAGCTCACTCTGATTCCTCTCAGTCCCGTAAATCACTGCATCACTCCCTCAGATTCAAATGAACTGAAATATTGGGTGATGTCCAGCCTTTGCTGAAGATGATGGCAGCTCTCCCACTGGCTTCACTGGGGGCAGAATTTTATCTACCACACTGCTAAATTACCAGAATAGCTTTTGTCAATGAGATCTGTCTAGTCTTGGCTGAAACACGCCTTACGGATTTTTGGAGATCACGATGGACAGTTAATTTAAAAGAAGAGGGTAACAAGGAGTATGATCAAGCACACTGCTCTGACTGCAACAAGTCTGTGGCTGCCCCTCTGCTATCAGAGATGACCCTACACTCAGGCGTACCACGTAACCGCACATGCAGCGTCTCTTTAGCTGTGCTCTATCTAAATGGTCTGATTTAGCTTAAAACTGCTTTTTGGTTAATTTTTTAAAATATTTAATTGTTTCTGATGGGGGGGGGGGGGGGGGTAGAGAAGCAGCTCTGTCTGTGGTCACGCTACAAGGTTGGAGGGGAACTGTTTTCTCAGTCTACCTCATCGGTAGAACACCACGTCTGATTAATGCTTTATCTATAAGCAGTGGTGTCATTGATTAACTCTGTGGGTATATCTTAGTCCCATTTAATATAATCACTTGCTCAGGAAAAGCAGACCGATAAAGCTATACAGGATCAGTTAGTGTGGTGCTTATATTCAAACACCTGCTTTAATCTTTGTTAATTTTCAAGTCTAGATCATATTCAAGACTACTGAACCTGACTAGACCAGACAACTTAAAGGTTAGCTAAAGAACTCCTTATAACTTGTTTAATCACATATTTATATGCTGGGATACTGACTATAGCTGCCTATAGCCTTGAAGTCTCACCTAAAGTTGGGCCCCTGGGCACATCTGTGATATAAATGTAGCAACGAGGTCCCATTTCACTTGTAAGAGCTACTGAATAAGAAAGCTCAGCATTTACACTCCACCTTACATCTTCAGAGTATCCCATAGACACATGAGACTGAGGTCGCTTATACGTTAGGTAGCAAGGGTTTTGATGAACTGCTCATTCAGCCATTCCTCTCCACCTCCCTTGATCGAACGATGACTTCGGCTTCCTCCAAATGATCCTTTGGATTGGTTAGGCTCTTGCTTGGCTCTGCTGTTAAGTGTCTCCATGGAATGGATTTTACTTTCAATAATGTCTCATAACTGTCTTTAAAGAGGTTTATGGCTCAGCCTTATTCTCTAGGAGATTGACTGTTCTCTGCTAATCTCCTATAGAAACGTTGTTATTGGTTCACACAGTATTTCAGTTAGTTCTCCTCAAGCTCTAGACTCAAGTTAATTGGACACAATTGACCGATGTTAGAGAATTATGATTAGATGAGTAATCTTAAGCAAAGGAAATAAGATCTTTCTGTACCTCAGAACATGCTGGGAGTTGTGGGGACTGGCAGGAAATGGCAGCTCAAGAAGTGTGCAGACCAGGCCCTAGGAACAGGGGTGATTTAGGGAATGGGGAAGTGCTCTGAAATAACTGAGGTTTGTAAAACCAGCAATTCTTTCTAAGGGCGAGCTAGGTGGGGTAAAAATACACTAGAATCTCGAGTGTCTGTAAGAGGCAAAAGTACAAGAAAAGATAAATAGATTGTGGCAGACCTGTGAGTGCTATTTTTGATTACTTTTTTTTTTTTTTTTTTTAACAAACAGTACACTGTTGTATAGCTACCAAAACCTGATTAAAGCAGTCAGGGAATAAATAGAGCAGGAATTCATCAGAATGCATTTGTGTTTACGACTGTAAACTGCACTCTGAAGGCAAGTCCAGTACACTGAAGCAATGCTGAATGATTAACGGACATGACACTAGTCCACATGACAAATATGAGCCCTGTAACATCACCAGGCAGCTCAAGACACAAAAACCCTGGAATTGTTTTTGCAGAGCAGCTTAAACCTTGCTGCTAAATCCCGGAACTCTTGGGTGCTGCTTCCCAATTAATTTTACATACTAACCCACTGGATGGGGTAAATCCTGGAAAAAAATACCTATATTATAAAAGCAGCCTATGTTCCTTAGCACAAGGCCTTACAGTATTGCTGTATTAAAATTGCCAGTCTCAAAACTTCTTCAGCTAAAGTAAACTTTCTGAGAGAACTATAGGTGTCAGCACTCAGTTTAAAAATGTGTAAGTATGTGCTTAACTCTACTGAGACGTGAAGTTTCACTGAGATCAGCAGCACTACTTAAGTAAAGTTACATTTGGAGGAGTGTCTTGAAGGTCAGGCCTCAAGTACAAAAGTACTTCAGATTCATATTGGCTGCTGGATAACACCAGCAGCAGGCACCTGGACTGCAGTACCAGTGACGTGATGTGATTTGCTATAGCAAATAATTATACTTCTATCCCATCAAAGTCGGCGTTCTCTCTCATAAACTTCATGTATTCAGACAGGGAAAAAAGTCAGTGCTCCTAAACTTTAAGTCTGCTGCTTAGAATTACAAAGCTGGAGCCCAAGCTAACATGCAAGCAGAACGTGTCCCCACTTTAATGTCTGTGGAGCTGGTTCTGCAGCCAGTCTTTCAGTGTGCACCTCTGATCCCTGCTGGCCTGTGCAAGGAGTGATGCACTGTTTTGGCTTCCCCAATTAGGAGTCCTGCTGATCGGGAATTTAGCTCTGCAGCCGGTGCAGAATCAGTTCTGCAGCTGGGACCGGGATTGCTACCTTGAGATGGATTTTGCAATTTGTAAGAACTGCAGAATCAGGCTCTTTGGGGCAATGGACTTCTCTAGGAGCAAGTGTTTATTCTGCTCACCGGCACTCGATGAAACACTGGCCGATCTGATCCTGGAGAGTTTCCTTGATGCTGAGCCCCTCCATTTCTCTCAGCTTGTCCTTGATGAATACGTCCTCTTGCCTCTCCTGGACCTCACCTTGCAGGGCATTTATTTGTCCAGCATGCATCTGCAAAATACTGGTTGCCTTTAAGTGAGGAGGTAGGCTCTGAAAATGACAGGAAGAGAAAAAAAAAAAAAAGTATGAATTAAAAGAAACTTAATATGAACTGGAATGCCAGGTTGACAGTGAATCCGAGCTTAAGCCTTAATTTATTTGCGGGGAGTCAGGAAAAAACCCTGTGCTCATAAAAAGTGCCTGGATGCACACAATGGTCTATTGTTAGTGTTTCAGCATTAATTAACAACATTGCAATGTACAAAAACAACCCTTCCAGCGTGGGATCCTGGGATCTCAATGAGACAGGTGAGAAAGCTGCTGTTCTGCAAATGCCAACTTTATCCATGTCAGAAGGGTGCCAGAGATTTTTTAATTGAATTTTCAAATGTTTGGACTTCCTATTGGTACTTTTTAATTAGCCAGTATTGTTTTTAATTTGTTCGCTTCAATTTTTATATACACTGCTTGGTCAGTGGTTTCCTGGTATTTTGTTTGCAGCTGGTCATATTCCTTTAGGAAATCAACTTCCCTTGAGGAACAACAACAACAACAAAGGAATAAACAAACCCCCCAAACGTTGTAATAAAAATCATAACTCCCGCAAGTTTCCCATGATATGATAACCTTGGCAAGAAGGGCTCTAAGCCAGTTTAAAGTCTTACACACTAATTTTTGCTTTGTGATTGATTTTACATGTGCACTTTGAGAGAGAAAAATGAAAGTCTTTCTGGTATGCAAATACAGAAGCATGAAAAATACCATCTGTGTGGGTGGTCTGAAACTTTGCATTCTGTAGTTTGCAATGGTTGATAAAGTTAAGATGTTCTCAGTGTTTTATGAGCTATTACTACCTTTTAAGTGTAGAGGGAAAATGTATTTTAGAAATTAACTTGTAAATTAGATTTTTTTTTTTTTTTTGCATTTCTAGAACAAAACATTTTCTACGTACTTGGGAAGTACTAAACTGCTGTCTGCTAGTGTATGTCAAATTTAAGAATGGAAAAGAGGAGAAAATATGATAATCATTTTTTGTAATATGGTATGTTTTACTCTTTGAAGTTAGTGACTGTCTGAAACATAGGTGGCAGCATATGTGAACAAAAGCCTAGGACTATTGGTTTGGATGGAAGAAACTCTATACAATTCTGCTCTGGCCTTCCACCTTCAGAATGTATAGAAATTGTCCTTAATCAGCACATCTCCGACTAATTTAGTGTAATGCATTCTCCTTGCTTTGGTGATGTATTTTATAGTGTGCTCCAAGTCCTAATTCCAAAGGTCTCCTGCAAAGGCAAAAAAGCTTCTACCAAAGGTTTGGCCAGCTTATATTTAAGATCTGTTATTTGGTGTTTTTCCATGCTTCAACCAGGTTCCAAAAATCACTAACAAGTGCCAGGCAAATTTGGTTTCAGAAAGTACACAGCGGGATTGCACACCATCCAAAGTAAGCACAGAGGCCCTGTTCAGGAAAGCAATTTACTGCCTTCCCTGCATCTGCAATGTATGACTCGTGCTATGAAAAAAAGGCATTGGTCAAGGCCACCAGTGAGAAAATATTCAGGAGGAGACAAGATGATCAGCATGCTTCTGAAATAATGGCTGCACATGCTCTCTTCCTGAATATTTGACCCAAAATGTCGCCTTTCACCCTGAGATGTTACCTTCACTCAATTCTCAGTTTCCACAGAAGTGTTTCCAAACTTCACCTTCACCAGCACCTATTTTTAAGTATAGCACAACTAATCTTAATACTATTTATTTGGATTTCACCTGGATTACACCACTGTGTGCCTTATTAATATTAAACAAACCTCAGAATAGCCAGATGTGATGATGCTTTCTCAGGGTTCATCTGGAAAACAGAGGAGGACCCACAAGGACTGCTTCCCAGATTGAGATCTAGAAACAAGATCCACTTCCCTCAGGCAGTTTCCCACTCAACCCTTTGCTTCACGACAGCAATTCTCAAGGGACTGCTTTTCTGAGATGTTCCTGTCAAAGTGTTATTGCCTAGAGGTATTGGTAGCAAGGCTGCTACTGAAGAGATGAGCCGACTAGAGCCAACATGACTCTTCCATGTGTTTGTATGCTGCCATAGCATGGTCTGAACAGCCACTGCATTACACGCAGAGGACAACCTACTAGATTTCCTAGCTAGATGCTCACTAGCAGAAGCTGGGGAAGGGCTGTTTCGTCTAGAAATACGTTTTCTAGCTGAAGGTGAGTGAGAAGAAAAGGCAGAAGGGAAAGAAATCTGGAAGCACAAGAATAGGGGACTGAAGGAGTATTTCCACGAGCAAAGGTAGCTGTGGTGAATGCTGACAGTGTCTTGCTGGGTGGGCAGAAGGCCCCATCCCATCTCCTTTGGCAAGTGATGGAATCAATGTTCAAGCCTTGGCACAGGGGGCACAAGGATCTCTCCAGCTTTATTGAGGCTGACCTAAAGCTGATGGAGAAAGACAGGCTCCCCTGCAGCATGCATCTGAACGTAAGGGCGAAAGCTCATGAGATGGCTCACTAGATGAACAGCTTATTGGTGCTGGGAAGGGGCAGCTCCTCTTCCACCCTAACTGCCGGGTGTGCAGTCCCTCCCTTCTCCTGCACAGGCTCTGGCACTCACCTGATCCTGCGGTGAACCAGTTCAGGGCTCTAAGAAGTGGCGATTAATCCCTTTTGTTGCATGTCTGTCCCGTCCATCTACCATTCCCACCCCTCCCGTTTAATTGTCTCCTGGTATAATGAGCTGAATCAGCTAGCCAAGGCAGGCAGCTGAGGGCCAGAGCCATAGCAAGGGAAGTGGTGGGTGAGCACGGGACCAGACCAACATGGAAAGCAGGATGGCCCATGCAGCAGCATGGACAGGAGAGCTCCTCTGCCATCTCTGAACCTTTCCTCTGCTCAGCTCCTCCTCTGAACTGCTCTCCCCCGAGTCCTGAGGGAGCCCTTAAGGACCAGCTACTTGTCACCGTGAATTTACTATCAGCATATCTTTCATCAGTACCAAAACCAGATGAGGTAAGCACTGTTTGAACTGGCAAGAATGTGCCCACATGAGCAAGACCAGAAGTAGGAGATTCTTATCTTTAAGTGAATTAATACACACCATATCTACATTTGAGTCCAGAGCCATGAAGCTGGTGTGGACTCAGTCCAGGTAGCTCTAAACCAGCTGGCTTAGATGCTGATAGCAACAAGGCTACAGAACATGCTCTGGTTGGCAAAATCCAGCCAAGTCCTGAGTAAATATTTGTGCAGCTACCTGACTGGGCACCATACAGTTATCAATATATCTGCTGGTACTAGCTTATGAGCTGCACTCAAAGCCCTGAGGCTGAAGTGCAGATGTAAACTTGTAGAACAGCTTATGAAAAGAAGCTCTGTTGTATTTGCCCTTCATATTTTTTTCATTTTCTTTTCCAGAGACCATTTTACTACAAGAATACAAAAGAAACAGGAATGACTCCTACCAAGAGTCCAGCTACCCACCTTTAATAACACTAAAGAAAGGAATAAAAGAGATCAGGGAAAGTTCATAAGACTGTATTCTCATTTGACAGTCTTTTTTTCCATTCCTATTGATTTCTTCTTATTAGTATTTTCTAAAGTAAGGTCTGTAGAAAAGGGTTTATTTGCAAGGAGGAAAAGGCCATTGCTGATGTGAAATGTGTTGTTGCTTGACTGCTTCAATCGCTGGGAAAGCGGAGCTGGCTCTGACCTAGATGGCCAGATAAGCTGGGGAGGAGGGTAGGGGTTGGAGGGGAGCCAACAAGACAGGGTGACACGCCAGGTACAAAAAGACACTTGATCCGAGTGGGAGTCGGTGCTGCCAGGCAAGCCATTGCGATGAGTAGTAGGGAGATCCGTTAATAACAAATGCCATCTTTTGAAGTTGGCCTAGCTGTGGACAGACAGTTGCCGAACCTGGGGCTCCTCCTGTAGTGCAAAAGCTTTGGCAATAACACGCTCCAGCTCAGATGGGTGATGGACAGTGTGAAATGAAGAGCAGGGCTGGCTGTGATAAATGAGCCCTGAAGGTTTCGTGGCTGTCTAATGTGGAACATACGCAGCACGCCCTGTTTGTGAGTGAAGACCAGGAGGCTGACACATGTCAGGAACTGAGGCTGGCTCCTGTTCTGGGGGGAGGAGGAGGAGGCAAGCGTTGAATGGCAGTGAGGAAATCATGCCACGGTTATTTGATTTTGAAGTAAAACGTTACAGGCGAACATACAACTGGCCTGACTTTCTATTCTGTTACTTTGAAATCAGTGCTGTTATGTCAACAAAAAATGAATTGGACTTGAGGACAACAGGGATGAGGAAACATCAGAAGAACTTACGTGTATGTGGGTTAACTAGTAAAATGGAGACTATCTCAAAAACTGCCTCTTTGGCCTATAAGAACTGATCCAAGTGTAGTTAAGGGTGTGAATTATCAAGGAAAGGAATCTGTTGGTAAAGTAGAGGGAACAGGAAGACCAACTAGATAAAAGTTGAGTGTGAAAGTGAATTTAGCAACGTGACCTAAAAACAGACACTTCAGTGGCAGGAGTTGCTGAAGGGATATAACAAGATGTCCAGAGGATGTAATTGTACCATTGTCTTAGCTGTCAGTTCTCTACCATTCTTCAGATAAAATGATTTTCTTTTGTCAAGTAAAAGACAAACTGAGGAAAGAAAACTGAGTCCTCAGAGCTTAATGGATGCTATGAAACGTTTTAGACTATTACAACACCTTAGAAAGAAAAAAAGCTATGAATAGCATAGCTGATACGAATTGGAGAACACTGCTTCCACCTTCTTGCTTTGCAATTGAAGAAACCCACTGTTAAGCTTGCTTTCTTTTCTCCACAGTGTTCTTGTCCTAATCACAGAAGTATGTGGCACCCTAAAGCTCACCAGTTTCAGAGTTTAACGCATTCCTAACCCTGCTTCGGTAGTGAGGAGACAACTCCAAAACCTGGGACCTTACATTCATCTCCAAGCACTCTTGTGTCTTCAAATGGAGACAGAGTCTACCCGACAGTCCTGGTGGGGTTTGCGTTCTCTAG